GGATGATGAATTTAGGAATTGGCATGTGACACAATTTTGGCCAATGGGAAGTCAGTTGGGGACTCCTGGGGGAGGCCTCCTTCCTCTTCAGAAGGAGGGAGCATCTTACCCTCAGAGCGCAATGTTTAAAGGTAGTATTGGTGTAACTGTTGATGCTTGGGCTGCTGCAGCCACTTTTGCAACCTTGCGGTGGCAAGCCTGAGGACAAAAGTCAACTAGACGACCAAGTCAAAAATGAGTAGAGCCTGGGTCCCTGATGATATTGAGCAGCTGAATGAACCAACTCCAACCTTCTTGTTATGTGAAATAATGCCACCTTGCTAAATGTTTAAGCCATTTGAGCTTAGTGTTTTGTTAGAAAGAGCTAAAAACACTTAAACTGGTGGTTCTCACCACTGCCCCAGTGCTGTGCTTTCTCCGTTAGGTACTTTCCTGGACGGGGGCATGTGTACTTGCACAACTAAGACTCGGTCGTAGTAGGTTCCTCAGAACACATCCTCTTACGTTGTCCCTGCTGCTCCCACCACCTTGCATATTTTGCTCAATATGTTTAATAAAATTGTGTTTAATTAATTATATCGTGAAGGAATTTTTTTCAAATGTAAGGAAGAAGAAGGTTTTTAAAAAATGATAAGTGAGTTAAGGATGTGTGTACTAGCAACTTGCCCAAAGATTGCAAAGTTCCTTTGGCACAGAGTCAGATTCACTTCAAGTGTGGGATTGGGGCTGGCTCCTGTGTACCGAGATGAACCTTCCAAATGTCAAACAAAATCTGGAAGGCAGAGGAGAAAAGGACCAAGGGGTTGGGGTGGGAACAACGAGTCAATGGGACTAGCTCCTTTGAAGTACGCCAGCTAACGCTTTAAATATTTTAATATTTTTTCCCAATAAATGTCTATCATTGAAGGATTATAAGTGAATTTCTGAATCTCCGAACAGGCAAAGGAGGGAAATTGGAAGAGTGCTGTTTAAAAGGGCATATTTTAAGGGCTTTGGATGGAGCCTAGTGTTCTTGGCTCCCATGCTCCATATAGCTTCCCAATTTTTTTATTCACAGGCTTAGCCTTGGGGCTCATTTTCTAGTCCCAAATCTGAGTAGCGTTGCTACCAAGCAAGATGTGTCTCTAGGGTCTGGATGTATAAAACTCTTCACTAAACCAAAGGTAGCCTTCGTTGGTTGGCTTTCAAAGCATGATCTGAAGTTTCAGCAAGGTCTTTGTTTTGGTCCAAAACTCCCCTCTGGAGCAAAAGATCAGAGCACTTGCTTTTCTTGAGACAGATTTCCTTGCCACACACAGGACTGAAATCATTCTGGGCTGCCTGTATGGAAGTGAGTTTTCAAGAAAAACAATTTGACTCATTCATTTGTCTTCCTAAATGGATTTTTTAAGTGCAGTTAATAAGATTACTTTGAAGTTAAAATCTATTTTCTTAGGTAAAAACTACAAATTAATCCCATTTAATTTATGGGGCTCCCCTTAATAGAGCCTGAAGGTAATCTGTTTTAGATTTTGCACTGAGCTTTCAATAAACATTAACTGAAGTTGTCATTTGGGCAGGGTACCTGTGCTAGGCTCCGAGGGAAAAGGATTTTAATAATCTTACCCTGTGGTCTAGTAAAGGAGAGAAGAAGTCCTGTATGGAGTCAAGAAGCCATACGATCAGAGAGCAAGGGAGTCACCTCAGCGCTGACTGCACGGGTGATGGATATTTGGATACAGGGGAAGGAGAGTTGGCTTCTGCCCCGAGTGATGCAGAGGGACAGCAGGGAGGTGGGAGGCTCTGAGCTGAGCCCGGAAGGATGGACGCATATCACCTACCAGGTGTGGGAGAGGAGGTGGCAAGGCACGAATGGCACCAAAAGTAGTTATCTCAAATCTGGCGGAAGTTTCATGAAGGGAAATCACTGGAAGTTAGACTGGAAGTGTCTTTGCTGAATTTAAAGACCCTCTGTAATGTGTATCTAAGCTTTGGACCCCACCGAAGAGGACGGATATGTGGTAGTGTGCCCATGAAGGTTGATCTGTTGGCACATTGAAGAAAGTGAAAGGAAAGAAACACGTGTGTCATTTTCAGGAAACTTTAATACAATGTCACATAGTTGCCAAAATTGTGAAGAAAAGGACACCTGTATCTCTGATTTTGTGATACTTTTTTTTTTACGATTTTATTTATTTATTTGACAGAGCGAGACAGAGCAAGAGAGGGAACACAAGCAGGGGGAGTGGGAGAGGGAGAAGCAGGCTCCCCGCAGAGCAGGGAGCCCAATGCGGGACTCGATCCCAGGACCCTGGGATCATGACCTGAGTTGAAGGCAGTCACTTAACCAACTGAGCCACCCAGGCGCCCTGATTTTGTGATACTTTTATTGGAGCCATGCGCTGGTGCATTAAGGCAATTATGAAATGGATATTTCTTATATATGAACGTGTTGACTTCAGAGCTCCATGGCAATGATACGGTGAAGACTTCCAGTGTCGAATCCAAGCTTGGACAGAACAATTTTACAGGGTATTTCATTAGTTTACAGTCAATCTACTTCAGGACTGTCTCTAGGGTTTAATTTGTCAACCATAAATTCAGGAATATTTGTCACCTAGATAAGAGGTTAAAGAATTAATGAGACACATTATTAAATACTTTCAGCTTTAAAAGGGTTTAGTATTTTAAAGTTTAGTAGAACCTTGTCATAATGCAATCTCTGGGGCCTGTGTCATTGAAATGTAATAATGATGAAGTTTTATAATTCAGTAAAAACTACAGCAGGTGAAAGATAGCCCACCTTATCCTGAATCCCATCCTATTTGCATGAGGAGAGATGAGTAAGGTTTCAACAAAGCTGAAGCCCCAGTTCCTGTAGCTTTCACAAGCACTGGAAGGATGGAGCTCTGTGAAGTACAAAATCTCGAATGAGAAGGGAACAGAAGGGGCAGGGTGGCACCAGCAAAAACGACTGGTCTTTGAAACTATGCACCTGGCTTCATTAAAATCTCTAGAAATAAACAGTGAAAGTGAAAGCTGTTCAATATTTTAAAAGAAACTACCTATTTGAGCACCTGGTGTCAGGGAGCCAGGAGGCTGTTGGAGCTCAGAACTTACCAGGGTTCCAAATAGAAGACACACTGTCTATCTGAGGCATACGGAGCCCTGGGAGCTCAGAGTGTGATGTTACCATCTGTGTGATTGTGATGATCAGCTACCCGATAATGTCCGTGAAGCAGTGGGGGGCTCATGGCAGTGGGCACATTTTGGTTTGTCTGGGGCAAGGGAAAAAGAAAGATCACTAAATGTTGATTCCTTTGTTTCTCTTCCTTTTTTTGGAAGGTATGGTAAAAAGTAAACTAGTGGTAAAATAATAATAAAAAATAATAATAGGGATGAATGGGTGAAATAGGTGAAAGAGATTGAGTATACTTATCATGATGAGCACTGAGTAATGTATACAATTGTTGAGTTACTATACTGTATACCTGAAATTAATATAACAGTATGTTAACTGTAGTGAAATTAAAAAAAATAAAAGGGGCACCTGGGTGGCTCAGTTGGTTAAGTGTCTTCATCTCAGGTCATGATCTTGGGGTTCTGGGATTGAGCCCCATGTTGGACTCCCTACTCAGCAGGGAGACTGCTTCTCCCTCTCCCTCTGCCCCCCAATCCCCCCACTCAAGCTCTCTCTCTCTCTCTCAAATAGATAAATAAAGTCTTTAAATAATAATAATACTAATAATAATTGCCAACATTTATTGAGTGTTATGTGCCAGGTGCTATAAACAGATGACCTACTCACATCATTGAAGCCTTACAACCAACCTATACAGCTATACTGATTATTATACCCTTTTTACAGAACAGGAAAGTGAGGGTTAATGAAACTGGACTCCAACCTTAGTCTATATAGGGGCCTGAGAACTACAGTCCACAGGCCAAAGCTAGCCCACTGCCTGTTTTTGTAATTAAAGTATTATTGGAACATAGTGATGCCGTTTGTTTACATATTTTCCATGGCTGCTGCACGGCTACACAGACAGAGTTGAACAGTTGTAACAGAGACCATATGGCCCCCAAAGCTGAAAATATTTACTAATGGTCCTTTAGAGAAAGCATAGAGTCCACTTGGTGTAGAATCCCTAGAGCTGTCACTCCAGGGAGTATTTTAGTTACAAGAGAATGGATGGGGTGCCTGGGTGGCTCAGTCGGTTGAGTGAGAGACTCTTGGTTTTGACTCAGGTCATGATCTCAGGGTCGTGGGATCAAGCCCCACGTTGGGCTCCGCAATCAGTGTGGAGTCTGCTCAAGATTCTCTCGCCTTCTCCCTCGCCCCACTTGTGTGCATGCTCTCTCTCTCAAATAAATAAATAAGTAAAATATTTTTTTTAAAAAAAGAGGGAGAATGGAAAATGTATCAGTAGTGGAAAGAGCACTAGACTGGGAGCCTGTAAAAAGTGGCCATGGGACCTTGGAAAAGTCACTCCACCTCCTAAGAAATCTTTTTTCTGATCTACTAATTAAAGCCACACTGCCAAGTTTCCAAATTAGAAGGTGTCCTAAACACTTCTTTCTGGTTTGCAAAAAGCTATTTTAGCAGAGGGAGAGAGAAAGAGAGAGAGCAAGCACAAGCAGGGGGAACAGCAGGCAGGGGAGAAGCAGGCTCCCTGCTGAGCAAGGACCCCGAAGCGGGGCTGGATCCCAGGACGCTGGGATCACGACCTGAGCCGAAGGCAGATGCTTAAGTACTGAGCCACCCAGGCGTCCCCTTTATTTTGATAGTTTTACATTTTAAATTTATCTACAATTTTGAATGAATTTTGGTGTAAGTTGTAAAGCCTGTGTCTGCATTTCACTTAATTCCGTATGGTTTCTAATTAATTGTTTCTATTTCTGGAGAAGTCGGGGACAATTGGACTCCATTTCAGTTCGAATTTCCGAAATGTAATGGGTTCAGCTGGACCCCAGGACAGGGGCCTCCGCTGAACTGCGGGCACCGCATCCTGCACTGCCCCCGCCTCCCGCAGGGGGCGCCCGAGTCCCGCTCCGAGACCCTGCGGGGCATGCGCGCTCAGCCCTTCTCCTCGGGCGCTGACGGGCGTTCCAAAGCCTCAGAACCCACTGTGCTGACGCCCAGGCTTCGGGAGGACGTGGGTCCGCGTCCACGCTGACGGCAGCCGGGCCTCCTCAGGACCCGCTGTGGAGACTCCGGGAGGACGTGGGGCCGCGTCCACGCTGACAGGAGTCTGGCCGCATCAGGACCCGCTGTGGAGACTCCGGGAGGACGTGGGGCCGCGTCCACGCTGATAGGAGCCGGGTCTCCTCCGGACCCGCTGTGGGGACTTCGGGAGGACGTGGGGCCGCGTCCACGCTGATGGCAGCCGGGTCTCCTCCGGACGTGGTGTGGAGACTCCGGGAGGACGTTGGTCCGCGTCCACGCTGACAGGAGTCCGGCCGCGTCAGGACCCCCCGGGAGTAGAAGGTGAGGAGAAGCCGCCTGAGCGGGGACTGCGGGGGGGGGGGGGGTGCGAGCTCCCGGGGCCCCGCTGGGGAAGGGCGCGCTGTGTAGATGCGGGGCTTTGTGTGCGCCGACGTGGGGTCCCGCGCGGGGCTGGGCTCGGGGCTGGCGGGTCTCCCCTTCCTGAGCTCGGATCCGCTCCGAGGCCCCGGGGTCTGTGTTTATGTGCCCCTCGGATTCGGTTCCTGGGGCTGCTCAGACAATCTGCAGGCAGGGAGGGGACACCCGCCGCGGGGCTCGGGCTCCTTCCCGCGTCCACGCGGTCAGGATCTGGGTGGGGCTCCGGCTCCGGCAGGGAGGTTGGCGGTTCTGCTTCTCTGGGAGGTGCTGACGTGGGTGTTCGGAAGAGTCACCGACTGCGGCGAGCCTGTCCCAGCGGCACAAACGCTCGGTCTCCGCACTCAGGCCCCCAGCTGTCGTTGGCTCAGCATATTGACCACCTCACACGGGGCGCTTGGGTGCCTTGGACCCCGAACAGGGACGCCGGCCCGCGGAACCGGCACAGGACCCTAAGTGCGGAGATCATCCGGTGTCCACACTGCAACCCAGCCCGTAGGCCCGCTTCCACTGTCACCACCTGCCCCACTGTCTGAAGCGTCCTTTTCCACTCGCGTCCGGTTTTCTTCTTCTGGAACTGCTCCCGACACGTTGCCTTATGCGGGTAACCTTGGCGGATGTAAAGAGCAAGCTGGTTGCAATCTGGCCTTTCCTGTCTGGCTTCTGTCACTGCGGCTGTTTTCAGTGTCCACCCACGCTGTGACCTGCCTCAGTCCCTCATTCATCTTTTCACTGCGACTAAACATAATAGTATCGACCACTTACAACATTGCAGGTGCACAGTTCTCTGGCCTCAGCCGAGTTGCGCGGTTGTCCCTCATTCTCCAGCACTCTTTCCTTCTCGGCGAGGGGGACTCTGTGCATGAGACGCCAGCTCCCCATTGCCCTTCCCCCTCGGCCCCTGCAGCCACATTCCACTCTGTGTCTCAGGATACTTCCTGTAAGTGGGATCACACAGTGTCTGTCCTCCTGTGACTGGTGATTTCACTCAGCGAAACGACTTCCAGGGTCAATCCGTGTCGTAGCCTGTGTCAGAACTCCCTTCGTTTTTGAGGCTGAATCGAGTTCCACACTGTATATGCCACATTTTGTTTATCCATTCATCCGTCAGTGGGCACTTGGGTTGCTTCCACCTTTTGGCTGTTGTGAAAATTGCTGCTCTGAATAAGGGTACTTGTACTTTCAGTTTTGGGGGGCATATATGCTGCAGTGGAATTCTGCGTTCAATATTTTGAGGAGCCACCCTATTTTTTTCTACAAATGAACCATTTTACTTCATTCCTTCATAGGGCAGAACAAGATTGCCATTTATGGATCTACCTCATTTTGTTTATCCTTTCCCCATTGATGGACATTTGCATAGTTTCTGGGTTTTGCCTATTGTGAACACTGCTGCTACGAATATTTCTGTACATTTTTGTTTGTATCAGTGTTTTCAATTTTGGGGGTATACATCTAGGAGTGTAATTGTTGAACCATATGGTAATTCTACTTTGATCTATTTGAGTAAATGCCAAAATATTTTATACGTAGACTCACCATTTTTCACAAGCAAGGTGTAAGGGTTTCAGTTTCTCAACATCCTTTCTAAAATCTGTTATTTTAGTTTTCTTGATTACAGCGATTCTATCGTGTGTAAAAGGACATCTAACTGGTTTAAATCTTCATTTCCATAAAGACTAAGGATGCTTAACATCTATTCATGTGCTATTCACCATTTGTATGATTTCTTTGGAGGAAGGTCTACCCAAGTCCTTTGTCTATTTTAAAAAATGGGTTGTCTTTTTGCTGAGGAGTTGTAAAAGCTCTTTACATATTCTGGGCAACAGACTCTTACTAGATAAATAATGTACAAACATTTTCTTCCATTCTGGGGGCTTTCTTTTCACTTTCCAGATAGTATCTTATGATGTACAGATTTTTATTTTTTTTACATTTCTTTTTTAAGAGTGAGTGAGAGAGAGTGTGCAAGTGGTCAGGGGCAGAGGGAGAAGGAGAGAGAATCTTAAGCAGGCCCCATACTCAGTGTGGAGCCTGACGTGGTCTTGATCTCATAACCCTGAGATCATGATCTGAGCCAAAATTAAGAGTCGGACGCTTAACCAACTGAGCCACCCAGGCACCCAGAACAGATTTTTAATTTTGAGGACATTATTTTATCTATTTTTTCCTTTCCTTTCTTATGCTTTGGTATCAGATCTAAAAGCATTGCTAAATCCAAGCTTATGAAGATTTATCCCCATTTATTTCTTCTAGAGTTTATAGTTTTACCTCTTACATTTAAGCCTTTAATTTATTTTGAGTTAATGTTTATATGTGGTGTGAGGTAAGGGTCCAGTTTCATCTCTCTGTACATGGATAGTCAGTCAATTGTCTAGCACCCTTTGTTGAAAAGACCATTCTCTCCCCCAGTGTAATGTTGCCACCCTTGTCAAAATTCAGTGGACCACAGATGAAGGGGTTTATTTCTGGGCTGTCAGTTAAATCCCACTGATCTGTATACATATCTTTTTTAAAAAAACTATTTTATTTATTTATTTAAAAAATGTTTTAAATTTAAAATCAACTAATTAACGTATAATGTATTATTTGTTTCAGGGTGAATGCTACCTTTATGACAGTATCACAATGTTTTATTTACTGTTGCTTTGTATTAATATTTGAACTTTGGAAGTATGACCTTTCACCTTTGATTTTCTTTTTCAAGATTGTTTTGGCTATTTTGTGGTCCCTTGAAATTCCATATGACTGTTAGGATTAGCTTGTGCATTTCTTTCCAAAGGCCTTTGTGAATTTCCTCGGGAACACATTGAATTTCCACATTGCATTGTGTACTATTGCCATCTTATCAATAGTATGTCTTTTCATCACCATGGGGTCCTCAGATTTATTTAGGTTTCCCTTTCTTTCAGCAATGTTTTGTAATTTTCAGTGTACAAGCCTTGCACCTTGATTACATCTATTCCTGAGTATTTTGTCAATGTTAATGTTCCCTAAAATGGAATTGTTTTCTTAAATTATTTTTTGGATGATTCATGGCTAATGTATACAAATAAGAGAGATTTTTGTGTGTTGATATTAACTGGCTGTAATCATTTTTTGTTGATTGTTTAGGAAGCTCTCTATATAAGATGATGTCATCTCTGGTCTCTGAATAGACGTAGTTCTACTGTTTTCTTTCACATGTGGATTTCTTGCCTTATCATTCTGGGTAGAACTTCCAGTACGATACTGAGCAATGAGTGAAAGCCAGCATGATGGACTTGTTTGTGATTTCAGAGTAGAGCTGTCAGTCCTCTAAATTGAGCATGATGTTTGATTAGAGTTAGGGTTGGGTTAGGGGATAGGGTTAGGGTTAAGGGTTCGGGTAGTTGACCCTGTGACCCATGCAGCCCCACAGTCAGCATGTTGGAGCCAGGAACACTCCCCCTGTGCTGAGCTCCCGGGCAAACCCTGCGGGTCCCCTCCCCTGGCTGACCCCCTGAAGGTTCTGTCCCCACCTGCCATGAGTTGGAAGTCCCCACAACCTCCTCTTCAGGTTTGAATAATCTGATCCATTGGCTCATGGGACTCAGAGAAACATGTGTGATTCTTGGGCACAGCCATGAATCTCAGCTTCTTCATGATGGGGGGCAGCCCAGCAGCTGAGTGACCATGCAGGGCTGCCTCTGCTTTTATTTCATTTTTTTATCAGAAAAGCAAGGGCAGTTGCCTCAAAGCATGGGAAAGGAGGACAAAGGGATGGCAAGTATCCTGAAGCAGTAAAGCAGTCCTGTACCCTCCCCTAGGGACAGGCACGCAGGGAGGCAGTCATGGGATAAGGGAAAAGCAAGATGTTTGTGCTAGCAAGCACCAGGTGCAGAAAGGGGAACTGAGGGTTACATTCTTTCCTAGCTCCTAACCTGTGCCCTGCCCCTGGGGATCATGGGATCCTGCTCCTACTGGGCCCTTGCGTTCAATAGTCTGAGAACAGGAATGCTGTTGACCTTTCTGCTGCTTCCACAATCACTCCTGAGGGCTTACAATATATTTTCTAAGAATAATTCCACACTTCCTCCGTGAGGTGGACTACCTGGTATGCACAGAGGTGGATATGAAGTTCTGCGACCACGTGAGTATGGAGATCCTGTCCCCCCTCTTCGGCACCCTGCACCCCGGTTTCTACCAGGCAGCCCACAAGGACTTCAGCTACGAGCATTGGCCACAGTCCCAGGCACACATCCCCAGGGACAAGGGCGACTTTTACTACATGAGGACCTTTTTTGGGGGGTCGGTGGTAGAGGTTCACCAACTGACCTTGGCCTGTCACCAGGCAATGGGGGTCAACCTGGCCACTGGGATTGAGGCTGTGTGGCACAATGAGAGCCACCTGAACAGGTACTTGCTGGACCATAAGCCCATTAAGGTGCTGTCCCCAGAGGACCCGTGGGACCCTCAGCTGCTGGGCTGTCCCCGAGAGGACCTGTGGGACCCACAGCTGCTGGGCTGCCCCTGGAGGACCTGTGGGATCCACAGCTGCTGGGCTGCGCCCCATCATGAAGAAGCTGAGATTCATGGCTGTGCCCAAGAATCACCAGGACATCAGCAGTGGTTATTACTTGAGGAGTCATTTTGGTGCCCACCGGGTCTTTCACTTGAGTTAACAGATGAGCCCGAAGGAAGGACGTCATCAGTTAGGAAGTACAGACGAAGGTCAGAGTGGAGGTGGACAAAGGCCTCTTTAACTCAGAGAGCGGGGGAGCCCCGAGCTTCTTCTACACACCTTGCCCTGCTCATCGATTCCAGCTGCCTGGCTCTGAGTTCTGTCCTTTTAATGAACTGGTCATCTAGTAAGTAACATGTTTCTCTGAGTTCCATGAGCCACTGGAGCAGATTATTCAAACCTGAAGAGGAGGTTGTGGGGACTTCCAGTCTGTAGCCCATAGCTCGGAAACAGGGGTGACCTCTCTGCCCAGCCACTGGCTGACCACTGAGTTAACAGCACAGGGATTCAGTGGCCACACACAGCAAAGAATACAGACTTGACAAAGTGAGTTCAGAAAAGTCACTAAGCCAACAGTAGCAACTACAACGAGCAGCAATCATGAAGCCTGGAGTGGGGAAGCTCTGATGTTCAGGATGCTTCCATTATAATATTCATAATCACACCCTGGACTTGTCACTGGGGCCAAGTCCCCCGGCTGGGGGTCAGGTAGCTCCTACATGTTCCACGTGCCTCTCTCTGGCTCCCCCAGCCGTGCACAGTCCTGTGCTGCTTCCCAGCAGAGGTCGGTTTTAACCAAAGCCAGGAAGATGGGATGGGTTTTCCTGACGCCCCACCCCCTGCCCCACAGGGCTGCAAGAGAGGAAAAAGTTTTCCTCAACCCTGTTAAGGTCCCCGGCTGAGTCTGGAAATTGACAAAGACAGATGAACAGGAGAAAAGCAAGCAAAATGTATTGGTTGCTTTGGTGGGAGCCTCACAAGACCATGAAGACCAGCAGAGGTGACTGGAGCAGACAGCTCTTCTACCTTTTAGACAAAGAAGCAGTAAGTGTGTGAAGAATGGACAGACGCAGGGGTTTGGACTAGGGCTCGTAAACGGTAAAGAAGTAACTAGGAAGATAAGGGTTAGTTTAACCAGGTGTGTTTGTATAGACCCCGTGGTCCTAAATTCCTTGACTCTGGTGATAAGCACATCATCCCTGTGGTCCGGGGCGAGAAAGTTCCACATGGGAGTCTTCTGACCTGCTTAAGGGAAAAAGGGCTGATGGCTGGGGGTCAGAGAGACCTTCTTGCTTTGCTCTATGCAAAAGTTCTTTTAGCTACTATATTTATTTTGCCAAGGTGCCATATTTGGGGTAGTGTGTCCTGACCCTCACTGGCCTGGTGCTGTACTCTGTCTCCTAGTATCCAGGACATCGGATGTGCTGCTGTGGAGACCTTCCAGCCCTGGGGTAGCCCCTTGTCCAGGGAGGCACCTGCCTCAAGGGGAGGGTCGCTAAGGGTGGCCACTCCTCCTCAGGGAGATTGGGTGGGAGAATGCAGATCTTACTTCGAGAAACTGACTTTATTTCCTGAAAAGGTCTACCTGATAGTGGGATCATACGGGAGTTCTATTTTTAGTATTTTGGGGAAGCTTCATCCTTTTCCCAGCATGGGTGTGCCAACCAAAGTCAATTCCAGATGATTTTTACCTATAAACCAGAGATTTTGCAAGAACCTCTCCAGCAGAGAACATGAGGAGAACAGTTTCAAGACCTTAGACAGGCAGAGATTTCCCAGGATGCAAGGTATACTAACCATAGGAACAAACCGGTGACTTAGAAACTATGAAATGAAGAACTGGTTCTCCTTCTTCCATTTCTGGCTAGTGTGCTGGTCTGTGGCTCGATCTCACCTCAGGCAGCTGAAAGGTTGACCTCCCAGGTCTGCTACCACTGAGATGGCTACTGTTTCTAGAAATTCTTCGGGGTGTGGCCGGTTTTCCCCACCTGTGCACTGATCAAGTCGGCGACCTCGGACAGTGGAGCCACGGGTCCTCCAGGCATGGTTCCCCCCCAGTGCCCCAGTAAAGCCATTCCACTGAGGGTTTAGGGGGACTGGAGCTGCCCCTAGGCAAAAACACCAGAGGTTCTCACTGTCCCTACCTGGCCTTCAGATGCTCCTCAGTTACTCCTGTGCCTCTGGTGTCTTCCTGGAACCCTGACCTGGCTGTTTTTGGACAGTTCATCCAGTGGTACCCTCACTTTCTGGGAGGGGGATTTGCTGGAATCTGCAGTGTGTCCTGCAGTCCCACCGGGATCACTTTTTGAAGGCACGTCGCCTGGGCCATCTGAGGACTTAAGACTGTGGGTCTGTGGCTTGGAGGGATTCTGAGCAGCTGGTGGGATGGGAGGGCTGCAAGGCCGAGAGGCATGTTTCCAGAAAGCTGTCTGGGGTCCCCGGCATCCTGCCATTTTTGAATCAAAGCCCTGAGATCTTTAAAATGCCAGCAACGTTACAGCATGGGCCAGAAAAGCAAATGTCCCTGTGCACCCAACACCACCTAAACTATTGGCCATTTCTTGTCACTTGAGTTGAGTAGAAAGGATTGGGAGTCAGGGCTTGAGGGGGGTCCTGGGTCAGACTTTGTGTTTGGGGGACAAAGGTCATCCAGACAAGCTTGTGCTGAGGCTGAGGAGGGGGTCTGTGTGAAGACCCCAGCTGCAGGCACTGCTGTCCACTGATGCCCCCTCAGCCTGCCCAAGTGCACCTGCTGCTGGGGGAGAGCCTGCCCCCTCTTCTCTGCCTGAGGCCTCTGTCCTGCACCAGGTGCGCCTCCTCTCCTGCCAGCCACTGCCAGCCTGCAGTCTGGGAGGGTGGCTACCCCGAGTTCCTCTAGCTGCTGGGGGAGAGCCTGCCCCCTCCTCTCTGCCTGAGGGCTCTCTCCTGCATCAGCTGCCTCCTCTCTTGCCAGCCACTGCCAGCCTGCAGCCTGGGAGGGTGGCTACCCTGAGTTTCTTCAGCTGCTGGGGGACCACCTGCCCCCTCCTTTCTGCCTGAGGGCTCTCTCTCACACCAGGTGCCTCCTCTCCTGCCAGTCACTGCCAGCCTGCAGCCTGGGAGAGTGGTTACCCCGAGTTCCTGCAGCTGCTGGGGGAGAGCCTGCCCCCTCCTCTCTGCCTGAGGGCTCTCTCCTGCATCAGGTGTGCCTCCTCCCCTGCCAGTCACTGCCAGCCTGCAGCATGGGAGGGTGGATACCCTGAAAACCTCCAGCCCTGTGGACAGAGTCAGTGCGATGTGGTCTCCCAGCAGGTCTGAGCACCAGGCCCCCACATTGCTCACTCTCATCCTATGGGCTCAATGTGCCACATCCTCCCTCAGGCTCCCTGGGTCCGAGTCCTCCTCTGCTCGTGGACCATCCTTGGCCCAGGCTCCACACGCTGGGACTGGGAGCGGGTCGTCTGGACGTTCTGGACTCTCGCTTCTGTTCCGGTGACACGGGCACAGGCCGGCCTCACAGACTGCTCAGAGGAGACTCAGCACAGGACGACGCAGGTTGCTGTAAGGGGAGATGCCAAGTGACCCCAGAGGGAGCGCACAGGCCTTGCAGAAGGCACTGGGCTCATGGGGCTCAGTGTGGGATGCGGGCGCCCAGCCAAGGGGCATGGGGAATCCTGCTGAGGGCGGCCCTGGCAAGGGGGGAGGGGGAAACCACGG